GAACTCGGGCTCACAGCGCGCAGTTGCCAGGTTTATCAGTCCAGCGGCGCGTGCAAGAGAGGACTACCAAAGTCGGCGTTCCCCGACCCGCACAATGTCCCGCGCGACGCAAAGAAGGGCACCCTAAAGTGCAAGACGTGCAAATGATGCCCAATCGGTTGCGCGTACTGGGCAGAAAAGGGAGGACGGGAAGAGGAGGATGGGGGGTGAGGCGGAAAATGGGGGGGAGAAGCATCGGTGAGGATGAGCTGAAGCGGGGCAGGAAGAGGAGGAGGGGAACGAGGAGGAAGTGTAGGAGGAGGAGGAAGAGGAGGAGGAGGAAGGGGACACTGAGATGAGGCTCCGGGTTTTGGGGCTGGGCGCGACTCGAAAAACCGGTGTGTTCGGAGATGTCCGTCGGGATCTTGCGGGGGGGCTTCTTGCGGGCCTCTTGGAGCAGTTTCGAAGGCTCTTGGGGGCCGTTTTGGGGCCTCTTTGTGGCTTCTTGGGCGCCTCTTGGAACGTCTTGGGGGCCTCTTGGGGGGTTCTTGGGGCCTCTTTGCGGCCTCTTGGGGCCTCCTGGGGGCCTCTTGGGGCGTAAGGCTGGGTTTTCCGGTGCGTGGTCTCTCTCTGGAGCCCCTCTTGGGCCCGTCTCCGGGAGGTTCTTGGGCCGTCTTGGGCGGCTCTTGGGCCGTCTGGGGGCTCTCTTGGGCCGCCTTGGGCGGCTCCTGGGCCGTCTGGGGGCTCTCTTGGGCCGTCTTGGGGGCGTCGTGGAGGCCTCTTGTGCCGTCTTGGAGCAGTCTTGGGAGCTTCTTGGGCTGTCTTGGAGCGGCGGAAAGCCGAAAAGGCGAAAATGACGAAAACATCAAAAAAAAACAATGAACATCAACGATTTTGGCCTCTTGGGGCGCTCCTCGGGGGCCTCTTGGAGGTCTCTTGGGGCGTCTTGGAGGTCTCTTTGGGCGTTTTGGGGCCCTCGTGGGGCGTCTTGGAAGCCTCTTGGGGCCTCCTGGGCGCTTCTTAGGGCGTCTAGGCGGTCTCTTGGGGCGTTTGGGGGCCTCTTGGAACGTCTGGGAGGCCTCTTGGGGCCTTCTTGGCCCGTATTTGGGCTCTTTTGGGCCCAGAAGAGCGTCGTGAGTCGCTCGTGGTGGGCACCCCCCCCCCCCCTCCAAATCGACCGGACCGGGTTCCCGGGGGAGGGGTTTGGGGAGGGGGAAGCATCTCACACGCCGATGACCCAAGGGGTCGGCGGATTTTTGAGGATGTCCTCAGCGAAACACTTGTTTTTCAGAATATGTCGAGGATGTCTCGAGCGAAACGCTAGTTTTGTGTTATAGCTTGTCCTCTTCGGGAACCTGAATTCAGAGGATCTCTCAAGTGAAATGCTTGTTTTCACATGCCCAGGTCTTGAGAATGTCTCGAGCGAGACGCTTGGTTTCACGCCTCCAGGTTGCCCAGACAGATGTCTAGCATGAGGATGTGTTGAGGATGTCTCGAACCAGAGGCTTGTTTTCACGTGTCCAGGTCGCCCAGGCGGATGTCTAGCATGAGGATGTGTCGAGAAAGTCTCGATCGAGACGCTTGTTTGCACGTGTCCAGGTTGCCCAGGCGGATGTCTAGCATGAGGATGTGCTGAGAACGTCTTGAGCGAAACGCGTGTTTTCACTTGTCCAGGTCGCCCAGGCATAGCACAGCCCTCGGCACGGTACATCAATATCGATACCCCTAGCATTGCAGTCTGGCATGTTGCTTGGCACGTTCCGCGGAGCGTCCCGTGGCGAGTCCCCCTGGCACATCGCGCGGTGCACGTCCATTGGCACGTTCCGTAGCGCGTCCCCTCGGCACGTCCCGCGGTGCGTCCCCGTGGCACGTCCCCTGGCACGGCGCCTGGCGCGTTCTTTGGGACGTTCCGCGGCGCGTCCTCCTGGCATGTCCCCTTGTCCATTAGCTCTGGGGCAGCTACTATGTGCTGAGGCAGCTCGAGCTTAAGATCCAGATCAGTTCGGGCAGGACTCGGGTGCAAAGGAGGACTCGATCCACAACGCTATAGAGCACAATCGCGGCATGGCACATCGCAGTTCAGCACAGAGCAGCACAGCACAGGCCTCGGCACGGTACATCAAGATCGATACACTCAACATTGCAACCTGGCACGTTCCGTGGCGCGTCCTGTGGCGAGTCCCCCTGGTACGTCGCGCGGCGCGTCTTCTGGCACGTCCATTGGCACGTCCATTGGCACTTTCCGTGGCGCGTCCCCTCGGCACGTCCCGCGGTGCGTCTTCGTGGCACGTCCCTTGGCACGTTGCCTGGCGCGTCCCTTGGGACGTTCCGCGGCGCGTCCTCCTGGCATGTTCCTCTGTCCATTAGCTCCGGGGCAGCTACTATGTGCTGAGGCAGCTCGAGCTTAAGATCCAGATCAGTTCGGTCAGGACTCGGGTGCAAAGGAGGACTCGATCCACAACGCTATAGAGCACAATCGCGGCATGGCACATCGCAGTTCAGCATCAGCACGGCGCAGCACAGCACAGCCCTTGGCACGGTACCTCAAAATCGATACATTCAGCATTGCATTTGCCCGTCGCCCAATCAGGTGCCTTTGAATCGTTGCCATGCTTTACATTTCTATATTTCTTTCCGGGTTCGTGGGTCGATCATGTTTTGAAATTCTGAACACATGGTTGGGGTGGTCCGGCGAACTTGAGGTGGTTCGGCGAACTTGACTTGCGATCAATAACGAGTTCAAGGTGGGCCAGCGAATTGAAATTTGAGGATGTCCCGATTGAAACGCTGTGCTTTGACATTCCGATCGATAGACACAGGGTGAAGTAGGCATTTTCGCTTGTTGTGGATATCTCGAGCGAAACGCTTGGTTTGCAGAAGTTGTTAAGGATGTCTCGAGCGAAACGTTTGTTTTGTGTTATAGATCGTTCTTCTCCTGGGGACCTGAATTCAGAGGATCTATAAGGTACAAACGTGGCCTTCACGCGCCCAGGTCTTGAGGACGTCTCGAGCGAGACGCTTGGTTTCACGCGTCCAGGTTGTCCAGGCAGATGTCTAGCATGAGGATGTGTTCTGGATGTCTCGAGCGAAACGCTTGTTTTCACGTGCCTGGGTCGCCCAGGCGGGTGTCTAGAATGAGGATGTGATGAGAACGTCTCGAGCGAGACGCTTGTTTTCACGTGTCCAGGTCGCCGAGGCGGATGGCTAGCATGAGGATGTGCTGAGGATGTGTTGAGCGAAACGCTTTCTTTCACGTGTCCAGGTTGCAAAGGCGGGGGTCTAGCTGCTAGATTCTGGCATGAGAAGGTGTTGAGAACGTCTCTCTCTCGAGAGAGAGACGTTTGTTTTCACGCGTCCAAGTCGCCCATGCGGATGTCTAGCATGAGGATGTGTGAACGTCTCGAGCGAAACGCTTGTTTTCACATGCCCAGGTCGCCCAGGCCTCAGACGGATGTCTAACATGAAGACGTGTCGAGGATGTGTTGAACGAAACGTGTTTTCACGTGCCCAGGTCGCCCAGGCGGAGATCTAACATGAGGATGTTGGCAGGATGTCTCGAACGAAACGCTAGTTGTCACGCGTCCAGGTTGCCCAGGCAGATGTCTAGCATGAGGAGGTTTGGAAACGTCACTAGGGAGACGCTTGTTTTCACGTGCCCAGGTAGCCCAGGCGGATGTCTAGCATGAGGATGTGTTGAGGATGTCTCGAGCGAGACGCTTGTTTTCACGTGTCCAGGTCGCCGAGGCGGATGTCTAGCATGAGGATGTGTTGAGGATGTTTTTGTTGAGCGAAACGCTTAGTTTTGGTGTCCAGGTCGCTCGGGCAGATGCCTAGCATGAGAAGGTGTTGAGAACGTCTCGAGCGAGGCGCTTGGTTTTGGTGTCCAGGTCGCCCAGGTGGATGTCTAACATGAGGATTTGTTGAGGATTCTTCGAGCGAAACGCTTGTCGCAGTGGAGTGCATCGCACTCCAACCCCGCCCGTCCGTGGGGCGTCCCCTGGCTCGCTGGCGAGTCCCTTGGCGCGTCCCCTGGCGTGTCCCTTGCGACATTCTGGCGTGACGTGCCCTGGCACGCCACTCGGCGTGGCACGTTCCCTGGCTCGTCCTCTGTCGCGTTTTCTGGGTCGTTCCCAGCCGTTTCCCCTGCCCGTTCCGTGGCGCGCCCTTGGCAACGTCCTTTGGCATGACGTCCTTTTGCCGCCCCATGGCACGTGTCTTGGCCGTCCCGTGGCAGGTCCCTGACACGTCCAGGGCACGTCCCCTGATACGTCCCCTGAAACGGCCCTTGGCGCATCCCCTATTACGCCCTTGGTGCATCCTGTGGCGCGCGCGTCCGTGAGCCTGTGCCCCATGTCGTGTCGCTCCTTTTCGGAATCGGATTTTGAGGTCGAGTTGATTGAACGTCCCACACGTTTCCACTTCAACTGGCTGTGGAGCAGCCACTATGTGCTCCGGCAGCTCGAGCTTAAGATCCAGATCAGTTCGGTCAGGACTCGGATGCAAAGGAAGATTCGATCCACAGCGCTATAGAGCACAATCGTAGCACGGCACATCGCAATTCAGCACGGCGCAGCTCAGAACAGCCCTCGGCACGGTACATCAATATCGATACGTTCAGCATAGCATTTGCCCGTCGCCCGATCAGGTTTCTTGAAAACGTTGCCATACCTTACATTTCTATTTTCCTTTCCGGGTTCGTGGGTCGATCATCTTGAGTTACCTGTGTAACGTGTTCATTGTCAGTGTTATTGTTTTTGAGTTTCTTTTTGTCTTCCCCGACTCCTTTTCGTCTTTTCCCGTCCACCTCGCCCCCGACCTCCCTCTCCCCTCTCCTCTCTGTCCCCGTCCCCTCCCCCCCCTACCCTTCCCAGTTTTCCTGGCACTCCCCCCTCCCTTCAACACCACTCTCGGGTGCCTCCCCCTGTGATCCCCCTTACCTTCCCCCCGCCACAGCAGCAGACGCTGAGAAACGCTTCATCGCCTTGGCGGCCAGCTCTCCCTCCCGAGCTGTGAGAGGGGAGGATGGCGTGGCGATTCGGGCAGTGCGCGGACCTCTTTCGGAGCAGGGTCAGGAAGGAGGTCCAAGATGTCACGGACAAGGTCAATTTGCAAGTTCAGGGTCTTCATAGTCAAGTGCATGTGGGGATGGATGCGATCAGCCACGCGGCGACTGTACCGAGGTCGCCTTGCCCGTCGCGCCCTCAACCTTTCGTCCTTCTTCTCCGCTTGCTCATATTGATCCGCTTCCCCATCGTCCGCATCATCGTCCTCATCCGTGCTCGTCGATGTCGTTGTCATCTCCTCGCTCATTCTCGTCCTGATTTTCCCGGAAAGGGCTTAGGCCCAGGGTTCTCGTTTAGTGGGTTTTCCCCCCTGCCTCGACTTGAAGGAGGCCGGCGGAATTATTCTGCTGTAAATAAGGAGGCGGGAAGAGGGCCGGCGGAATTATAGTTGAGGGTGTCCCGAGCGAGACGCTTGTTTGTCAGAGTTTGCTGAGGATGTCTCGAGCGAAACGCTTGTTTTGTGTAATAAATTGTTTTATGTTTGAGGATGTTCCGAAAGACACGCTTGTTTTTTTTTCGGAAATGGCATAGGCCCAGGGTTCTCTTTTAGTATGTTAAGGAGCCGGGGGAAGGCTGGCGGACGACGGGAAGCGCCCTTGGCGTGGTAGAAATTAATGATGGGGTACGGGGCGCATTTTGGAACCACGCTGGCGGATTTTTGAAAAATAGCCGATCCGTAGCATGTGGAGAGCTTTCTGGGGAAACATGTCCAAGGGGCTCCAGACCGCACCCATCCAGACGAAGCTGCGGTGCATGCAGACCTCCGTCAAGCCTATTGCGTCGTTCCGCTGGTCTCGCTGGCCTTTCCAGAAAAGCGCCGCCGACAAACTCGACAGGGTCCAACGCAAGATGGTGTATATCCTGGCAGGCGTGAGGCCCAGGGCCTCCGAGTCCCTTGCGGCCTATGCGCAACGCCGCTGGAGCATCGCTGGCGGCTTTGTGGCGACTGTCGGCAAGTGGAGTCGTGATTGGGCACGATCGGTCAAGTCGTGGCACGACCACGTCGAGAGGCACCGCGATCCTTGGGTCTGGTCTTGGCCGTTGCTCCACTGGAACGCCAGCGATTGGCTCCATCGCCAGCGCATTGCGGCCTCCTCCGCCAACCCGCATTCGCACGAGAGTCTGCCGCGGCCGCCCGCAGAGGAGATGGGAGGAAGGTCTCTGGGATGCTATCCAGGTCGCGGTCTTGCAGGCGTAGCCCTACTGAGGTGCTGCAGTTCCTCTGGGTGGCACGCAAGTTTCGGGCCACCTAGCTGTGGCCCCGATTTGTCCCTCATCCTCGCCTCGCGTCTCTGCCCCCCGCCCAGCGCGAAAAGCGCCACACTTTGTTGCGCGCGCGCGTTCTCCTAAGCAGTGGCGGAGTGCGCCTGTTGTGTTGGCTCCGTTTGTTTCGTTTCCCCCGTCCCTCTGGTCCTCCCTTTCCTTCCCTCCTTCCTCTTCCTGTTCCTTCTCCCTTGGCGCGGTGTCCTTCGCTTGCCGCGCAGTCAGCAGTTTCCAAGCGAAGTGCGGCCGAAGCGCCGCGAATCGCGAGGCCGAGAGTTACTCATGGCCCGCACAACAACAGCAACATCTTCCAAACATCGGCCCAAGAGGGGACTCCGAATCGACGTCGTGTTCGAATCGCTCTTGGAGGGCTTTCCGACGGCCCACGGGAGGCCCAAATGACGCCCCGGAGGGCCCCGGGAACGCCCAGGAGCGCACAAAAACGCCCCAAGCCCACAACAACCCCAGGACGGCCCGAGAAGGGCCAAGAAGGCCCCAAGAGACTCCCGGGAGAGCCCTAGGAGGCCCGTAAACGGCCCAGGAGAGCCGCAAGGCGGCCCAAGATGGCGCCGAGACGGCTTAAGAAAGTTCCCACAGAACCCCACGACGCGCCCAGACAGCCCCAAAAAACACCAGAAGCCCATAAGAGGACCCAAGGGGCCCCCAAGAAGCCCCCAACAGGCCCGAAGACAACCCCGCGCGGCGCCAGGAACGCCAGGAGCAACGTCTTTCTCCAATTGCCTCTTACTGTCCTTTCCGAAGCGGGAGTGAAGCTTAATATTCACGTGGCATGTTCGAAGGTGGCACCGTTGGGAGATGAACACATACTTGAGTTGGATCTAGAGACGTACGCCCCATGGAGGTCGTATTGCGGCAGAATTCACAAACATGGCGAATTCGCCGGCAATCCAGGCAAGCCGCTCCTGATACGGCCAGCTGCACAATGCCATCTGCTGTCTTATTATCCGATGGGATGGTCGAGAGGATTTATATTATACTGGCTTGTGGCACGGCTGTTTGACCAATATGACATCTATGGGTTCAAAGGCGCAGGTCATTATAAGAACGACCAGCCGATGAGAGAACGAGTTTTTTCCATTCGAGCATTTATTCTACGACATCGTCGAGCCGAACAGGCACTGATGCGTCGGACCGGCGCCGACCGCTTCCCCCCAGGCCGACCCGATTCGGGAGCCCCTCGAATCATGCGTCGGGCGAGCGCCGCGGGCTTCCGCAGTGAGAGGCCACACCCTCTCGCGCCGTGACAAAAGTTACGGCGAGAATTCTAGACGCTTCGCGTATCCCCACCAGCCCGTCCAGAAATGAGTCCCAGGGGAGTGGAGGTTATGAGGGAAGCGGGGGAGCATGCAGAAGAACAGAGGGCGGGGTGAGCCGCCATATACCCCAAGAGGGGGAGGATGTAGGAGGAGCCGTCGTCGTCGGAGTAGGAGGAGGAAGAGGAGGAGCAGGAGGAGGAGCAGGAGGAGGAGCAGGAGGAGGAGGAGGAGGAGGAAGATAAGGAGGAGGAGATGGAGGACTGCGAGGACGAGGAGGACGAGAAGGAGGAAAAGGAAAAGGAGGAGGAGGAGGAGGAGGAGGAGGGGGAGGGGGAGGAGGGAGGAGGAAGAAAAAGAGGAGGAGGAGGAGGACAATGGCGAGCTTGGGGGCCTCTTGGGCCGTCTTTGGAGCCTCTTGGCGGTCCCGGGGGCCTCTTGCGTATCTCGGGGAGCCTCTTGTGGCCTCTTGGGGGTCTCTTGGGGGCCTCTTGGAGGCCTCTTGGGGGCCTCTTGGGGCCTCTTGGGGCTCTCTTGGGGCGCTCTTGGGGCGCTCTTGGGAGCTTTCGAGGCGCTCTTGGGGCCATCTTGGAGGAGATCTATCAAAGAAGGGGGGGTCCTCAATTAGCGCTGCCCCTCTAGAGTGCCTCGAATCGCTTCTTGGGCCCTTCTTGAGGCCAAAATCTTTCCAAAACCTAGGTAAAATCAATGTTTTGTGTTTTCTCGCCTTTTCGCTCTTGGAGCCGTCTTGGGCCGTCTTGGGAGCCTCTTGGGCCTCTTGGAGGTCTCTTGGGAGCCTTTTGGAGGCCTCTTGGGCGCCTCTTGGGGCCTCTTGGGGCGCTCTTGGGGCGCTCTTGGGGCGCTCTTGGGAGCCTTCGGGGCGCTCTTGGGGCCATCTTGGAGGAGATCGATCAAAGAAGAGGGGGTCCCCAATTAGCGTTGCCCCTCTAGAGTGCCTCGAGTCGCCTCTTGGGCCCCCCAAGAGGCCAAAATCCTTCCAAAACCTAAGGAAAATCAATGTTTTTTGCTTTCTCGCCTTTTCGCTCTTGGAGCCGTCTTGGGCCATCTTGAACTCTCTTGGGGCCTCTTGGGGGTCTCTTGGCAGCCTCTTAGAGGCTTCTTGGGGGCCTCTTGGGGTCTCTTGGGGCCCTCTTGGGGCGCTCTTGGGGCGCTCTTGGGAGCCTTCGGGGCGCTCTTGGGGCCATCTTGGAGGAGATCTATCAAAGAAGGGGGGAGCTCCAATTAGGGTTGCCCCTCTAGAGTGCCTCGAAGCGCCTCTTGGGCCCCCCCAAGAGGCCAAAATCCTTCCAAAACCTAAGGAAAATCAATGTTTTGTGCTTTCTCGCTTTTTCGCTCTTGGAGCCGTCTTGAGCCATCTTGGGCGTCCCTGACACCTCGCGAGACGCCTCGTCCAGGTCAGTGGGGAGGGGTAAGGGGAGGGGTAAACCCCTCCCCGAAGGGAAAGAAGGGGGGTTGGCAGAGGAAACGCTCTAGACCACCTACGCCCTAAAGGGCTGGTGGGATTTCTGTTGTACGAAAAATAATACCCCAAACAATGTTTCTTATTGTCCTCAATCGTCGTCGTCGTCGTCGTCGTCGTCGTCGTCGTCGTCGGCATCGCCCTCCGCATTCCTCCTCGTGCTCGCCCTCGTTCTCTTCGTCCTTGTCCTTGTGTTTCTCTTCCTCCTCGTTGTCCTCATGCTCCTTCTCGCTATCCTCACGTTCACCACGTCGTCCTCGTCATCGGTTCCTCGTTGCCCTCGCCTTCCTTTTCTTTTTCGCCCAATACGCCCATTAGACTAAAGCGGCGCTTCCCGTTTTTGTCTGATCAGGTTTTCGCTTGATAAAAGACGAGATGAAGTCCAATTCGGCGTGGAAAAAATGCGTTTCGCGCGTGCCCTAGAGGAAAGTGCGCCCCCTTTTTCGGATCCACGATACATAACGGTGTCTGCAGACACCCGCCTCCCCTCGTAAAACAGAGGGCGCGGGGCATTTTCAGCGGAATCCTCAAGAAAAAACTATGAGAACATGCTGTTTTGCGTGACCGCTCGAGGATGGCGCGTCCTGCGCGCAGAAATGTTGGGGATGTCTCGAGCGAAACGCTCGTTTTCAAAATTTGACGGGCCTGGGCGCTCCAGGATGCTTGGATCGCAAACCCAGCTTAATTTACAAGGGAACACAGCGTAATGTACGAGGGCTCGGGGCCCTGGGAGCGCGGATCCAGCGTAATTTACTAGGGATCGTGGCCTTGGGAGTGCAGGAGCTGTGTAATTTACGAGAGGGTGCGGCTGGTTTGGGGATCGCAGTTCCAACATAATGTGTGAGGGATCGCGGCTTTGGGACCGCAAATCCCATGTAAATTCCGAGGGATTGCGGCCCTGGGAGCGCGGGGGCCGCGTAATTTATTAGGGGTCGTGGCCCTGGGAGCGCGGGCGCCACGTAATTCACAAGGGATTGTGGCCCTGGGAGCGCGGATGCCGTGTAATTCAGAATTTATTAAGGACGTCTCAAGCGAAACTATTGTTTTGTGTTATAGATTGCTCATATTCAGAGGATGTCTCAGGTGACATGATCGTTTTC